ATGGAAATGTTAGCAACCAACCTTCGGCAATGGTGTAGATAAAGTACTTTTGGCAGATGTCCACAAATAGTCTCTTTTATCTTTGGATTTGCCACGGTCAGCTGATGTGGAATTTCTAGATATATTTTGTGAAGAAGCTGCTTTAGAATCAAATTTCCGATAACTGGTTTCAGGTGTTTCCAATAAAGATGTCTGTGTTTTCTGCATTGAACAACAAGTGAATGAAATCATCATTAAATGTCATTCTGATCATTTATTTCTTTAATTAAAGTACATCGACTAGTAGAAATAACACTGAAGTACACTAGAATTTACCCAAAAATTTATTATTAATTGGATAAGACTGAATACATTACACTTATCCTCTTTGACACTTTTCCATAAGGATGTAAGATGAAAATGGTATCTTCTCTGTCTTCACAGAGTTGCTATGAAGCAAATGAGATATTTCAATTCTTGATATGACTAAAACTTGGGGATTCTCTAAAGAAAAATCTCTATTTCTGGTGACAAAAAGGCTTAAAGGTGGTAGAACATACCCTATAATCACCAATAACCTAGAAACCAGAGGACAATTTATTTTTATTTTCATTCATCCTCTCTCTCCTGCATTCATACTTTCTCTTAGTCAACTATAAAATATCAGCATTTTCCTTATCCACCAGTCTCATCCCCATTCCCTCCCCAAAAAAGAGGGAAAAATTATGAATATAAAGAATTAGAAAAATTTTCAGGAAAAATTGAGAAACAGATATTTGCTTCAATTCTGAAAGTAAACAAATTGCAAACTTTAAACACTTCAACCTTATTTCAACTCAATTTCCTCAGGTCACTTTCTACTGCTGTATACAAACTTTTTTAGCACCTGACCTAGACTTCTAGTAAAAGCTAGTAATAGTTGCTTTAGTGGAATCTTGCATTAAACCCATGCTCATCACTTTCTATTTTACCACTTCCTTCAGTCACCACCATCTCTCTGAAAATAATCATGGCAATCACTCACATGAAAGAATGCAGCACAAAAAAAAAGGCTATAAGGACAATACCCACACAAGTCTGATGGTTTAATTTTCAGTGAGTTTAAATTAGGATGGCATAGAGTGCAGGATCAAGAGGCGACTGTGTGTACTATAAAAACACGGAGCCAAATAATACGCTCTTTTCTCCTGGATCTTTTACTATCTTGCATGATGACTTGAAGTAAATCACCACATATCTCCAGGCTTAAATTTATCCATCTCTAAAATCAAGGGGTTAAATGAGATGATTTCTAAGTTTCTTGCTAAGTTCTAGTAATCTGTAATTTCATAATTCTTCTAGCAGGTAGGAATGTAGCACCATTTTTTCAGAATTGCATTTCTGTATTCTTTTTTCTACGTATTTCTACATTTGCTCTCTGAATTCTTCAGAGTCATACACACACACACCCACACCCACACCCACACCCACACCGCCACCGCCACCGCCACCGCCACCGCCACCACCACCTCCAAAATGTAACTGCTTTCATGGACAATTTTTCCTCCCAAAAGACCTGAGAATTGCAACTTAGAGTCATGGCACCACCTTGTGGCCATGTCTTGGAATTGACATTTCCCTGATTGCCTAAAAGAAAATGTACTCCATCTTAGAATACTGAAATAACCCTCTTCATAATACATCATGAAAATGTACTTTCCTACAAGTTACATTATTTTCTGAATGTTACACTTCAAGTGATGCATATATACAGAACGTTCACAATTTTTTCTGTTGTATTTTTTTAAAACAAACACTTAAATTTGGCACTTGCTATGTGCCAAGCATTATTTTAAATGCTTTACAAATATTTCATCTAATCCTCATGACAAATTTAGGAGATGAGTAGTGTTATTATCCCTTTATAGATGAGGAAACTGAGGCATTGAGAAGTAACTTGCCCTAAATCAGAAACATTTGGTAAATCTAATGATTATTATACATAAGGATTGTGATATTTCAATATTGTTGGCAATAAAGTATAGCAAACAAAAGTGTAGCTAATTTTTTAAATCATTTATTTTATAATTTTCCCATTATTTTCAACATATCTATCCAGACACCCATATAAAATAAAGGGAAATTATTAATCTACTTAATAACTGATGTAATTACTGAAATTATATATAACTCAAAATAACTCTGTAAGAATATGTGATACATACTTTCATGATATGAACATATTGTATATTTAGAAAAGAATATTGGACCTTAACCTACTTATTTTCATCAGACACTTTCCTAAGACTATAACTAGCTTTCCTGGTTAATTTTATTATGACAATAATTTCTCTAAAAATAATGTGTTCAAGTGTCTAGTATAGTGTCTGGATATATGAGGCATCCAATATTTATTTATAGGTTCAATCTTTCTTTCCTTCTTCCTTTTCTTTGAACCTAAACTTGATAAAACTGTAACACTTTCTATATCTTATAACTGAACTGTTCCCAGGCTATTCTGATTGTCACTTCCATTATAATTGTAATCAAACAATACCTGTGGGGACTTAGAAGACTACGTCACTGTGTATGAAGAATACACTTAATTATTTTAACTAAAAATTGCAATCAAAATTGTTCTGTAATAATCCTAGATTAACAAACGGGTTAGATGTTGAGGGATACTCTTCTTCCCTATACCTGGTGTGTCCTTCCATGTGTAGAGAGCACTATTAGAGTACGATTCCTAACTTCTCTGTTTCCTTAGGGTAGGAGCAATGATTTAAAGTGATCAGTGAATATTCGGAAGGAGAAACTGGGCATGTATAGTCCAGCCTCTTCCTTCCTTTTCCTGTTGGGAATCAGAGGAAGCATACTCCTGTTCTACTCCTTCATGCCATAGGTTTTACAAAAGCAGGTCACCAAGTGGGTAGGCTTATTCCAGTCCTGTTCTACCTGTGACAGAGTACGTAAATCTGTTTAATTTGGCATTTCGGGATTAGTAAATTCTCTTGCTGCAAATATAAACTGCATTCTCCAATATTAGTTATCTATACTAAAAATATTATTTTGGTTCTCCTTTGTCTATCTCAACTGGTTCAGAACTAAGTGAGGAAAACATGTAATTTATCGGGTCCCTTCAAAACTCATCATTAAACATTAAATATAAGCACTAGAATTTTTAAGAAAAGTACTGAAAATTTCTCAAGAAACACAGAAGTACCTAATTTAAAATAATACTATAAACATTAGAGAGAGAGATGAAAACCTTCTCTTTAAATTTCCAAGTAACAAATGCTTTAAGATTTTTAGCTAATGTTTTTTAATTAATAAATACCAAGAAATAATTTATGAAATGAAATTGTGTGAAATATTTTAAAATGCTCTTTTCTCATTTATGAACAAAAAATATTTATAAGTTGGTGTTAAAAAATTGGTTATAGGTGGAGCCAAGATGGCTCTATAGATAGAAGCACCATGCTGGCCGTCCACAGCAAAGACCCAAACTAAGTGAAATGCAGACAAACATCAGTCCTGGAACCCTAAGCACTGTACAAAGAGATTACTTAACCAAGCACCGAATGGAATAGTAAACTGACAGATAACAGAGAGCAAGGGGTTTCGAGCAGAGGCCCCCATCAGCTAATGCAGCATGGATCCACCATCTTGGACTCCTGTCAGAGATCAGTGGACAGGGAGTATGGGAAAGCAGATTCACAGAGCTCCCAGCAGGAGACAGAGCACCTGGCAACCAGCAAGACACGCGTTCCCATCCCCTTCCCTGCCTCCCCCTGCTCGACCTTCACTGCATCCCAGCTGGCTGATCCGAGACTTCCCGGTGGGTCAGTTCCCAGCTTCCCAGAAGGCTGATTTGCTGCTTCTTGGTGGGCTGATTCCCGGCTTCCCAGCAGGCCAATTTCTCACTTCCCACATGGCAGCAATCATGGCATGGGAGGCGCCAGTTTGTACCACGCAGATTCACCCCACCTACACCAGTCAGCTTCTTTACTGCCATTTCATTGTTGCTGGTATTGCTTTTTTCGGCCTCTTTTGGGTTTTTCCCTGCCTCTCACCTCTTCCTCCTCCTTTCTCTTGAACACCTGATTCCATGTGCCATCTTTGCTTCTTCTTCACAGGCTGTGAAGCACTGATGAGCTGGGGAATGGCTTCCCCAGCCCACTTCCCGGGTCCATGCAGCCACACTCGTGGGATCCTTGGGGGCTTTTTTATCTTTTCCAACTTTTTTTTGTTTGTTTTCTCTTTCTTTTTTCCTTTTAGTTACCTTCTTTTCCTGTCTCCTGAATACTTGGCACTTTGTATCATCTCCACCACTTCCAGCCAGGCTGTACTGTGCACCTTGGGAGCCATTTGCCCAATCTGTGCAGCCAGGCCAGTGGATCCCTGGGGGCTTTTTTTAAATTTTTTTTTCTTTTCATTCTTCTCCATTTCTCAGTTTCTTGTCTCTCCACTCCAATGGCAAGCTCCCTCAGCACTTTTTTTTTGCTCCTGTTTCTCTCTCCTCTCTCTCTCATTTTTCATACCCAACCAAGCTGCACACATCACAACCTCCCTCTCCCCCTCTCTCCTGCCTATCTGCACCATGTGCTGAACACTGCACTCCCGAGCAGTACAGGCATGACCTACTGAAACCTGCCCTGCACTAACTTCCAGTTCATCTTGTTGGTCCACGTATATGCCACAAACAATCCATCCAAGCCCCTCCTCTTTCAGCTAGACCTGTCCTTCTGCATCATAGCTGAGTGACTGACCCTACCCAATGGACAAGGAGGTGAAAAATATCATAACCACAGACAAGCAAACAACAAAGAATGCACAGCCCGCCTGCTCAGACATAACCAAATAAAACAAAAAAGCAGGATGAAAAAAACAAATCTACAATCAATAAATGAAGAAAATAACTACTGAATGTCCCGAAGACAGCACACAATAACAAAACATATTAAAAAAAGGACAGGATGGTTCCACTAGGCATCGAAAATAAAATAGGAAGAAAAGGCACTAGAACTACCAGATAGGGAATTCAAATCTCTAATATTCAGAGCTATCCAAAAGTTGAAGCAAAAAGCAGACAAAAATGATGAAGAAATAGGCAAATTCATGGAAAAGGTAGACAAATTCATGGAAAATACAGACAAAAAATGGAAGAATTCAGGAAAATAATGCAGGAACAAAATTCCAAAATAAATTCACAACTAGAAATCATACAAAAACAACAATTAGAA